ATTTTCATGGATGTACTAGGGCTCGAACCCAGAACCTCATGCATGCCAAGCATGCAAATACATTTTTAAGTTCATTTTCAGCTCTAAAGTCCTATTCTCCTTTGACCCTAGGGACCTTAGCATGCTTAACCCATCTACCATCTAAAACAAAATTTCGCCTTCCTTTCTAGATAGTGAGCTCTTTTGAAATCTTACTCAGTTCTCTGTTTCAGGTGTACTCACAGTTCATGACTCTGTTTAATTCAGGTACTTACTTGTAAAACTGCTATCCAACATGGATTAACGTATGTAAATCCTAAGAAGAGTAAGAGAATTTTAGGGTTTGAAGTTAGAACAGAAATCTTCTTGCCAGTGCCTCACAGAGTAGACGGTTCCCTGATCGTTCTGTTTTGACAGTTCCCTGTCATTTTCCTGTCATGTCTGTTCTCCAGAGGCTCACAGAGCAAATCTACTCCCTAATTCCCGTGAAGGGCCATCGCATGTTTGGAAAGACCGAAGAGGCACTCCTGGTGTCTACGTTTTCTTTCCTTCTGTTGAATGTTCTCTAGTTCCTTCAAGTACCACACTATTTCTTATAATCACGTTGGTCTTTCTGTTCAGTTCTTAAACTTTATAATCACCTTTGGCATCACCTGGTTATTTATCATTCATCGTTTTTACTTGTGTCAAGATGATCAAGCAAATATTAACCTATCCCAAGGTGCATAGGTAGAAATGAATTCTTTCCACGTATTCATTGAGCAGATACGTGTTGGTAACTATTATTAACAGTGTCCTGTTTCTCTTTCTTCCATATACTTTGAGGCAGGCTAGCACAGAGGCAGATTTACTTTTTAATGACTTGTCCATGTTACAGACACGTAGGAAAATGTTTACGCATTCATTTATTTTCCTTTCCCCTTTGAAACTTCTCTCTCTGTTTCTCTATGTTATTCTGAAAACAACTGACGAAACTTGATGTCCAGTCAGTTATAATGGTGCACCTGAGCCAGAAGATGTGCCCTTTGGGGGAAGGTAGTGCTTGTGATGACAGACCTCAGAACCAGATTACCTGGGTTAGAATTCCAGCTCCACAATGATCAGTTTATGTCCTTTGGAAAGTCCTTCAACCTTTTTGGTCCTCAGTTTCCTTCTCTCTAGAATGAGCGTGATAACTTATCTACTTTATGAAGTTAGTATAACTTAAGGGCTGAGGCACCAAGCAAGCCCTGTGAGAGCCTTTGTTGTTGTTAGAATTTCACTTCTCTGCAGGAGTGGAGTAATGAGGAGCTCTGGCCATCCTTAGTGGGAAGTAAAGCTGTTCTAGCTGTTTATGTGGTCTCTCTCTATCAGGGGAATTACCGACTCCCAAGTTTTCTTGAGGGAAGGAGAGCTGTAGGAGAGCTGGTGCTGGAGTTTTTTTTCCTCTCCGTGTAGAAGAACACATTTTAAGATTGACAGGGCATCCCTGAGACCTCCTTCTGCCTTACCTATAATAAAAGCCTTTGAATTTTGGCTCAGTTCAGTTTATCACATATTGAAAAATCCTTATACAGCTCTCAGGGCTGCCACTTCTTTTGAAAAAGCTTTTGCAGGAAACTAGGTAAGGATAGGGGTCATGGTCACAGAGGTGGAGACCCATTGGAATCCACCAGAACGCGGCAGTACTTTTTATTTTTTTTAAATAAAATCTTCTCCCACTTGCATTTCCAGAGGTTCAGGGCATAGTTTTGAAGACAAGAAATAACTTTGTCCTATTCTACACTTGTCCAGCCTTGGTTCCCTCTGCTTTAACACGTCATGCATTCACACCATTGACTACATTTCCCTGGATGAGTGGAAGTGATGTCAAACCTCACATTTACCCACTGGAGGGAATGCCACCAACTGCACACTTTTGGAACCTAGAGTAAACTATGCCTATTGAAAGCATTGTCTCTCCCTAGAGAGTGTTTTTAGCACCCAGTAGACTGGCCATTTATTTTCAACCCCCAGATCTTTAATTTCTGCTCGAAGTCCACTTAGAAGCTTTCACAGATCATTGTCCACAGACTGAGATGGATTGAATACTTGTGGGATACATGCTAGCCTTGGAAAAGCCAGACTTACTGTAGGAGCTTTGGATCTTGAAGAAGGCTGTAAGGAATTTAAAGAGGAAACCCACAAAAGTTAGTGATGACAGAAAAAGGAAAGTTAATATAACTGGAAGGAGAAAAACACGGTATAAGTGCCTTGAAACCTAGTATACCATATGGAATGTGTTATGGTTAGGATACTGAACATTTCCTCATAGCCACCGAGAACAGAAAAGGAGAGAAAGTTATGTATTACAGCTGAATGAATTGACGGAGATAGTGCACAGATTTAATGTTCTATATTGCTAATTATAGATGTGTGTTGAAGTCCTTTTAGGCAGTACTGGCGTTGTGTAAAATGACAGAATCACATTATCAAATATTTAACAGTGATTTAGAACAAGTTGCATTGTAGTAAACCGGATCACACACAGACACACACACACACACAAACCTGAAAAGGAAAGGCCATCTAATTATTCTCTGGAGGGGGAAAAAAAACTTTTCCAAGTTGCGTATTTAAAAGAAGACATCTATTTGGAAGAAAGACCTAAGTATATAATGGATGATAACTGAATAATCCAAAACTATCAAAAAAGAATCAAAATTAAAATTGACCTGAGGGAAAAATGACGTGAAGAGAAACTATCTAAAATTTCAAATCTGCTGTAAATAGCAGAATAGAGGATTGTGGTACAGTAAAGCTCTTTAGTAGAGGTCAGGAGGAGAGTATAAAATGTAAATGAATCCTTCTCCCAAACTGTTGCCAGAACTGTGTTCCTAAAAATGAAATGAAATGTCTGCTCAAAATCCCTGTGCCGACGCGATGAAGTCTGACCTCCGTGGCTTGGCATGCAAAGCCTCACAGCCAGCGTCCAGCCTCAGAGGTGGCCCTGTCATGCCTGGTCCCTGCTCCAAGGACACACCCTATGCTTGAACCACCTTGAGTGCCTGCCATGTGCCTGGAACTGTTCTGAGCACTTTATGCGTAAATACAATCTCTCATTTAATTGTCTCAGTAACCCTACTGCAGAGTAGCTACTAGTGTCCTTCCCGTTTAGGGAGAAAAGAAAAAAAATCAAGGCACAGAGTGACTAAATTACTTGCCAAAGGCTAGTAACTAGAAGCTAGATGCCAAAGGCTGGTGGCTAGTAATCTGCCCTCTAGTAAAGAGCTGGAGGAAGGTGATATTGCCAGAACACATGATGGTGCCCTTTTTGGTTTCCATGCCTTGCTGATGCTTTTCTCTTGGTCTGGATCTCCCTCCTGATTACCTCTCCCCACCACACATGCTCTTCCTGGTGAACTTGTACTGTCTTATAACGACTCAGATAAAGGCTTCCCACCGACTCTGGGAAGCCTTCCCCAGTTATCTTCGCTATTCTCAACGGCCTTTGGTTCAAGTCACCAGCTCAGCTCTGACCTTTTGGGACTCTACTTAGTGATCTGCGCATGTCTTTTCTGAGGTTGGGAAAACTCTTTGAAAGCAGGAATCTGGCCTTATTTACTTTATTTGAGCATTCTTCCTAGTATGAAGGTTTTCAAAAGTATTTTTTAATAAATAGAAAAAAGGCAAAGCGTTGCAAAATCTCAGATTTTTATGTTTTTTTCAGACTATTAATGAGAATCAAAAAATGAAAGTTAATTAGGTACTTCCAGCATGCATGTACCTATGGTCTGTCGTAATGTTCTCCATTGCTGACCTAGTAAATATGTTTGATGCATAGGCATTTAATATTTTTACAAATTCTAGAACATGCTAGGCATACTATAGACAAATATGCTTAAAGTTTTAAGAAAACACTAATTATGTCTCCTTTTATCTTTCAGAGCCCAAACCAGTTCAAATTGTTATTCCTTATGAAAGTCACAGTACCTCCGTTATCTTATTTGTTCAAATGCCTGATGTTGGAGTGTTTGATGGCATATATATTACAATTGAAGGAGGGCCAAATGTAACCAGGCTTTTAAAACATGACAGTAAAATAACTGTTGACAATTTAACCCCAGGCACAGAATATAATTTCTTTGTTTCCACCATCAGCGGGACTAAATTAAGTAATATGTTTCATGTGCCTACAGTAAAAACATGTAAGTAGTTTAGGACTTGCCTAAGCGTCTTTTTGAATTTGATTTTGTGTGCTGTTTCAGATGAATAGTCTGCATTCACTTTGATGCAGTCGTTTTCAAAGATCCTTTAAAACAATGGCAAAAACCTCACTACAGAGCCTGCACTTTAATTGCCCAGTTATATGGATAGAGCTGAACTTGTTAGAATTGAGAAGTCCTGAATTTCTTCTTAGGTATCTATTAATGAAAAATCGTATTTGTATATTAATCAGAACTTTCAGTTAACTTTATCCAAGAGTGAGGAATTTGAGTAACTTTAGGCAGATTATAAGAACTAGATCATATTTTTTGAGACTTGGGGCCTTGATTGTGTCTCTCAAAGCACATAATCTAAGTGTGTGTTTGCTCTTCCCATGATGCCATTTCTCAGAAAAAAAGACCTGGTGCATAATTTTCTTTACCTCTTTGAATATTTTAAATTGATAGCTATAATATTTGTCCATTTCAATACTTGCATTTTGAGTCATACTGATTTTGATTTTAAGTCACTCAAAAATTCTACAAATATTAATTTCGAACATTTTGGATACTTGAAATTTATCTAAGGTGTCCATCCAGTTGATGTAGAAATGAATGGCAAAGAGTAATAAATGCCATAGAAAAATCACATGGAATCTTAAAAACATTCTATTTCTGACCATAACATGTCTAGGTTCTTTATGATTTGCTTTTCCTGACTGTAAGTCTTCACATATATAATCGTACCACTATATGAAATCTTCCTCCAAGATGTAATCCTTCCATTACTGTTGAAACTCAATTTTTCCATAAAATAATCTCAAACTGATATCACAAAGCATGTTATTCCACGAGCATTTTGACGTATTTATAATCAGCTTGGTATATGTTTATATTTTATTTTTGTTTATAATTTTTAAAATACTTTTATTACATGTATTCTGCCCCTCTTGTTATAAATCATTGTGGGCATCATTCTATTTGGTAGTTCTTGTCTTTAAAGCTAATTAATGCTTGATCATCTAAATATATCAATACAATGATACCAATCAGCAGAAATGCCAATATATAAGGTAATAGTTTAAGGCTGACTTTTTTTTTTCAGTTTTTCTGTAATAATTATCTTCCTCTGTGCTGGATGGGATCTTTCAACTGGGAAAATAAACACTAAAACTCACCAGATGAAATTTGTTTTCAGCTTCGCCAATATTTGGTACAGAGGGATTCTTTTACCTCTTTGTCTAGAATTCATATTTCTCTCTGTTCTTTATAGCTTATGCTAAATAGTTTCAGGAAGCTTTAATTTCTTTTTCCTCCATTGAATATTGTGCATTTGCTCCTGTGAATTTGCTCTTACGTAGTTTTTGCTGTAACATCAAAGTTAGCTGCATGTAATGGTATTTACAATGACTCTGAGTATTGCAATTGATTATCATATTTCCCAAGCTGTTGTAGATGTAAACAACTGTTTTTAATGAGAATAGAGAGATAGTTCATTAATAAACTTCACTGTTCGTTTTTACATTGTGATTTTTATTACCTTTGAAGGGATACATTAAAAGAAAAACCCAGTTAGAAAACATCCAAGAATTTAAGTATGGTGTATGTTTTGGGTAGGTCTGGAAGCACCATCAAATATCCATGAAGGCAAAGTTACGGACTCTTCCATAGAAATTCTCTGGAATCGAGCTGATGGGAATTTTCAGCATTATGAAATCACATGCATAAACTGTGCTGCTGCTTTCATGGTATGTTATCAGGGCTCTTGGAAGAATTAAACTTTAATACTAAGGCGAATATTACTGCATCCTTATGTTAGATAGTAGTGAAACCAAATAACCCCCAACCTTTTTTTTTTTTTCTGGTCATGCCTGATTGTGGTGCATTTCTTAGATCAACACTTGGCAATTTATTTTTTTGGATAGGTCCAGAAGGTATTTCAAGAAGCAGCAACATTCTCTAACCTGGATCCTGCCACAATGTATACCTTCTCAATTCGCACTGAAAAACAAGGTTTTCAAGACAGTACTCCCCACATAAAGGAAATACAGACAGGTACATGTTGTGTAAGCACTTTGAGTATTATTCAGTGTTGAAACATTTATTGTTTGGATTTTCGGTTTTCTAAATATTTTTTTGTTAATATCAGAAGGATTCCATTAATATGCTTTGGTTTTATATGCTGCTTTCTTTTTTACAAGAATTATTTATTTATTGAGGCACCATTGATTTATAACATTATATAAGTTTCAGTGTTCAAATATTCATTCAGTTTTTGGGGGGAAGATTTAGTAGTTTATTCTTCCCAGGTTGTCTTTGTGAGCAGGCAGTATCACCTCTTGTGTCTTTTTCTGTTTCCCCTTCTACGGATTAGCAAAACCTCTTTAGTGTGTATTTTCAGGCAGTAGAGTTACTAACTGTTCTGGGTTCTGGCCAGATTGTCCATTTGTGATCTAATTTTTCCATTGTTCAGTTGAACAGACAATGAAGTGTCACTTCCCCAGTGGTAGCAACTTACTCCCAATGGCAGATGTTGATTTATTCCATGGTCGTCATACGAAATAAAGGATGACTGGGAAAGCGTATGCAGAGTGCATATGTTTTCAAATCTAGGTGAAGTAAAATGGTCAACTATTCTACTAAAACAACTATTTTAGTTATTCTTGGCACCAATGGCTGGGAACATTGATTTATGTATTTAGACATTGGTCATGTCTGGTATTCTTTTACTGTAATAACAAAAAATGGAATTGAGAGAGAATATCTTGACAGTTTTGTTCCTTTCTGATATGTGGATGAATTTTAAAGGGGAAACAAAAAATATGTTTTACACTATTTAACTTTTTTCCTCAGAAAAGAAGAGAGGTCTTTCATATTTATATTGCAATTAAATTTCCTGCTGACTAACCTTTTTTACTATTTGGTATTTAATTAGGGTGTATGCTAAAAATCATTAAATATCTCTGAGGTTGGTGGTTATAGGAGACCAAGATATCACCTCTTTCTACATTTTAGGGTCAAGGGAAATAATTGAATATAACCCTACTGGGGTATATATTAGCTCTGTTTCGAAGTTTAAAGTGATTCTTTTTGTTTTTTCCTCTCTTTTGACTTTTAACTTCTCATATCAACCAGAAAGAATAAAAGGAATGTCTTGGTTACCCTCCGAGTTTGCAGAAAGTCAAACAAATCCTGAGACTGTGTCAGGGGTGTTTTAAAACAGGTGATTTATGTGATAGAAAATGTTACTTTCTGTGTGTATTTTAAATGATGTAGCCCCAAGTGCCATTGAATTCATGAACCATAGTAGAAACTCAAACGCAGTAACTGTTAACTGGCCTTTAGCCAGAAGTCGTCTGGATGGATACATTATTTCAATATCCAGCAACAGCTTTGTGAAAGAAGAAATCCTGCCTTCCACAAAAAGGTATGAGAATACTGAAAAGAAATGATGTCAAGTTACATGGAACACAAAGATTAACATTTTATATGTGTTTTTAGAAAGCTATGTTAGTGGTTTAATGTAAAGAGAAATTAGAAAACTTTGCGAGACAGTTTTTGGACTGCAATGTAATTAGAGTAACTAAATCTAACATACAGTACCATACCATTTATGCAAATAGATAGTAATGAATTAATTCAGGATAGTGTGATGCTTGTATTTCTGATCTGCGCACTTTTTTGACTTAAATTTCTCCATGTAAGAAGTTCTGATTTCGAAATAGCTGTTCATGTTTAAGCATAGCAAATTGTTTCCATAATAGACAATAAGACACCAAAACTTATAGATAAAATTCTTTCTTCAGGTAGTGTGAGAATATGGTGTTTTCCAAATGTTCCTGAGCTAAAAATTTTAATATGTGACTTTTCTTTAATGTGTAGGACATTCACGTTTAACAACCTTTCTCCGGGGACTGACTTTTTAATTAGCGTTATAACTACCAAGGGACTAAAGAGAAGCCAGCCTACTGTCCTCGTGGTTAGCACTTGTAAGTTCATTTTATATTTAATTAACTTTTCATGGGTAAAACTAAGGGAAATAGTTGGGTTTAAAGGCAATATCCAATTAATAATGGAGTCATAGAAGTGGTTTCTGACATGCTTAAAGAGGCAGAGCACTTCATTTCCATGCAGAATGCCTGAGTTACAGTCCTTTCTCTATCATTTATTAGTTAGGTGACCTTGGGCAAAACCATAAAGTTCTCACTTAAAAAGTGAGAATAATTATTCCTCCCCAGGTGTAAAGTCTTGTTACTAAAATCACATGCAAAGCTCTTTGTGAAAGTGCAAAGTACTCTAAAACCCTAAGGTATTGTCATCATGAAATACTCAATATTTTTCTAATATTTTGACTATATCTATTAACATATGAAAAACAAAACTTTGGAGTATGAAAAAAATAGATGGCACTGTCTTTTCAATTGCATCACTTGGGTTCAGTTTGCGTCTTCTGGCCTCGTCAGCATCCCTTACGTGTACGCCTGCCCTGAGCACATGCAGACATTCCAGAGAGTCCTGTCACTACCGGGTCACAGTCACATGAACGTGCACTCAAGTACCAGTGCCCTGTCAGCGTGAGAGGAGGATTAATCTCAGGATTTGCAGGGTGGAGGAGGAGAAAGCACTGAAAAATGCAGCCACAGTCAAATCAATTCCTGGAAAATAAACTAAAACTTTGAGCACTTATACACCCGCCTGGTGCTATGTGCTTAAGGTATCATGTTGAATCTCCCTGGGTTACTTAAAATGTAGGTTAAGTCTCAGAGGTGTTCATAACTCATTACTGAAGGTGAGATTTTTTTTTACATTTTTTATTGATTCATAATCATTTTACAGTGTTGTGTCAAATTCCAGTGTTCAGCACAATTTTTCACTCATTCATGGACATATACACACTCATTGTCACATTTTTTGTTCTCTGTGATTTATCATAACATTTTGTGTATATTTCCCTGTGCTATACAGTGTGAAGGTGAGATTTAACTCAGGTATTTAACTCTAAAGCTGATAGAGACTCTGCTGCCGCTCATAAAGATCATTTGAAGAAACATTGACAAGAGATGAGAAATGACCTCATTTTTTAAATGATAGTTCATTGTTTTGTATCAGTGAAAGCATCTCAGATGGCTGCTTAGATTTAGGGGTGTTATTATCATTGTCCCCACTGTCATTACTGTTGTCATCATCATCACACTGAGTGCTTGTTTTTCGGTCAGGCACTGTGCTAAGCATTTTTTATGCTTAATGTCACTTCATTCTCAATGACAACCTTTATTCTGTCCATCATAATGAGATGCATTTTTTAACAAATGAGGAAACTGAAGCTTTGACAATTTCAGTAGCTTGTACAAGATGACAGAGATGAACCTCTATTTCCCTGATAACAAATTCTGTCATTGTAACCACCTGCTTTAATGAAAGGCCACTACGCTATAGGAAGGACTGGCTCTACTAGTTCTTGTCTCTGTGACTTTGTACAAATCATTGTTCTATTTGGACCTCAAGCTTATTTCTATCTGGGTTTAATAATGCTGTCTATATTTTGAGAGGTTATTGTTTTGACTGTTTTCCAAATGTGACTTTTTCTCCACCCATCCCACTTTACAATCTGACTTTTGTTGTCTGCCACATATTAATGATTTTTGGTCTTTTTGTACCTCTTTTTCATTGCAAGCCACCTCAAATTTATTTGGAAGTAGATGGAATATTAATAAATATATAAAAGAAAGCTAAAATATATTCTGGGAATATGTGGGAATAATAAATGAATTCCAGTTGAAAGCAAATATACATCACAGAAAAATAGAATAAAAAGGATTGTGGATCAGTGACACAGGTTTAAATCTACAACTGGGTTGAATCGAATAAACTTAATATATAAATAAGGACAAAAATATCTCATGCAAAATTTGAATTTTAGAAATATTCCAATAAAATTTTAATATTACATTTCTTCCAACTAAGGAAAGCAATGTAACATTTCAATTTGAAATATAAATTAGAATTAGATACATGCTACTGATTTGAAAAATAAGTTTCTAGAACCTTCTCAGATAAAATGTTTAAAGGGAAAAGGAGTTTGGGAATTTAAGGAAAAGGGTAGATATATCTCTTAAGATATATCTAGCATAAGATTGTAAGTTAAAATTTTACTTGTAACTTCATACTGAATTCTGCTATGAGAAAAATAAATATGAAAATTCATACTTTCTATAATTTTACTGTGGAAAAAGGCTTTCTAGAACATTCTTCCCCCCCCTCCATTGTAGAGATGAGGAGACTGAGATGCACGGTAAATAGCTTGCACAGGACCACACAGAGCTAAAACTGACTAGAAAAACCTACATGTCCCTTCTCTTCCACAGCGTGACCGTCAAGGTTACAGTCCAGTATAGATAAATGTGATGATAGAAATGTTTTGGTTTTTTTCCAGCAATATCATTCCCATGTCTTATTTCATTGCCCTAGATCCAGACCCACCATCAGATTTGCTGGTTTTGGGACAGGAAGAAAGCACAATATATTTGTCTTGGAAACTCCCACAAGGAGGCTTTGAAAAGTTTCAGGTAAAGCTGTTGTCATGCAACCTGGGTGTTGTTTGAGGCCTTTATTTCACTCCTTTTTGTCCTTCATTTTACATTAAGAGGTTCAGAAATTAATGTACCACTCCTTTAATGTAAGATTTTTCCTCCAATGTAATTTTCTTATTTATTGCTTTAAAAGTACAAAGTTGCATGGGAGGTGTTCAACTTTGAGTAAAAGCTGGTACTTGACTTTAAATGGGTTTTAAGATTTTCAGTGGCGACAGACAGGGGCATGTATAGTGCAAAAAGGTGAATAAAGGGATGATGGCGCTGGAGGATAATGCTTCTGTGACAGCACTGACTGCAACAGATTCCAGAAGCCAGGTTGCCTGCCACAGGTGATGCGTCAGCTCCAGCCTACAGGTTTAATAAGAGTGGAGAATTGCAGCCCAGAGGGCAGGAGAGGAAGATGTAGAGGAGCCACTTTTCAACTGTGTCATTTTCATTGCTGCTCTTTGTTGTGAATAATACAGCGTGGCATCACGTGAGGACATATTATAAACAATCTAGATCCTGTAGGACAGTTTGCAGAGAGGAAGCTTCTGGGGTTAGCACTCGTGCTTTGCATTCTGTAGGGGCAAACAAGTTTTCTATAATTTCATAATGGTAGGACATAGGAATTTTAATTGTAAGTAATAGAAAACAACTTGAAATGGTTTCAGAAATAAAGAAAAAAGTGGTCATATTAATAACAGAGTACCTCATGGAGACAGAGGTAAAGCATATATGGGTGTTGGGAAGAACTGGGATCAGATGTGTAAAGCCACTGAGGCTTCAGGGGTCAGTTTCTGTCTGTCTGTCTGCTTCTTTCTGCTCATCAGCCTCAGTTTATTTTTTCTTATTTATTTATTTTTCCTGATGCCCCGTTTTCTCTGCTAAGCAATCCATGTGGTAAGTGGAAGAATGCCATGCATAACTTCCAAGCACATATGATACGTTATCAGTTACAGAGAGAGACAGATGCTCCCTAAATTCCCAAGGAAAGGACTGTGATTATTCGGAATTGTAGACACTCAGTCACGTTCTCATTAACTGTGGTTGTAGGTCCCATGTCATGTGAAAGTGGTGGCCACAGGTCCGTGGGGGATGGCATTTATAGAATCCTGAGAATTTGAGCAGCTACAACAGAAGATGTTTCTTGTAAACAAAAAGTAATATAAAATTTAATAATTTATAGAATTCATACAGCCTAAAAAGGAGCCAGGGCAATAAAATTACCAGACATGTGAAATGAACTAGTAGTACATCTGCAGGTTATATTCAAGTATGAATTTCTTAATAATTATGGTTCATGAGAGAAACAAGATAATAGTCATTATGTGATGGACATAAAAAGAATCCACATTTATTTATAGTACCTGGTACTGAAGACAAAGGGGGACATAGTGGACAGAATAATGGCCTTTCAAAGATCCACAACCTAATTCACAGAACTTGAAATATGTTCTATTCTCCAGCAAAGAGGAACTGGATAGCAGACAGAATTAGATTTGCTAATTAGCAGGTTTTAAAGTAGGGAGACTATAGAAAGTCTCGATCCAGGTGGGAGACTAGGGAGATCCTGAGCTCACCTCCTCCCATAGACACACAAAAACTACTACTACATATAGAATAACTGTCTCTGGAGTGACCCCAAGACTAGCAGAACAGATTTTCTATAACCGAGGATGTAAAGACAAGGGCACGTTGAATTGGGTAAGAGGGACAGAGATGCAGTCTACTGAGAACCCACACCCCCACTGTGGTGACCCTCCCGTGGGAGGGCTATCACAACCACAGAGGGCCCCCCAGGATGGAGGGTCCGAGCTTGAGGGAACCTGCACTGGGAAGAAGAGCCATTGTAACACCTGGTTGTGAAGAACAGCAGGGCTTCTGTCTGGGAGAGCCGGAGAGCTGTGCGATACTGAGACTTTGCTCTTGAAGGGCATGTTCACACGCTACGCACTCTGAGTCCCAGTGCATGGGCGGCAGCTTGAGAAGCAGCTGGGGGGCAGGGAGCTGGTGGAGCGCTCTCTAGGCATAGAAGTACTGATGGGTCCACTTTTTTAAAACTCTCCTTCCAACTGGCTTATTAGCTCTAGTTTTGTGTGGCGCTTTTAGGGTTTTCTATATACAGTATCATGTCATCCACATATAATGACAATTTTACTTCTTCTCTTCCAATTTGGATCCCTTTCTTTCTTTTTCTTGCCTAATTGTGACTAGGACTTCTAAGACAATGTTGAATAGACATGGTGAGAGTGGGCATCCTTGTCTTGTTCCAGATTTTCACAGGAAGGCTATCAGTTTTTTAATGTTGAGTATTATGTTGGCTATGGGTTTGTCTTAAATAGCTTTTATTATGTTGAGATATGTTCCCTCTGTACCCATTTGGGTGTTGAATTTTATCAAATGCTTTTTCTGCATTTATTGAGATGATCATATGATTTTTGTCCTTTCTCTTGTTGACGTCCTGTATCACATTGATTTGCGTATGTTCAACCATCCTTGTGTCCCTGGGATGAATCCAACTTGATCATAGTGTGTGATCTTTTTTATGTGCTGTTGGATTCTGTTTGCTAATATTTTGTTGAGGATTTTTGCATCTATGTTCATCAGTGACATTGGCCTGAAGTTTTCTTTTTTGGTATTTTTGCATCTATGTTCATCAGTGACATTGGCCTGAAGTTTTCTTTTTTGGTATAGTGTCTTTGTCTGGTTTTGGTATCAGGGTGATGGTGGTTTCATAGAATGAGTTTGGGAGTGTTCCCTCCTTTTCAGTCTTTTGGAAGAGTTTGAAAAGGACTGGTAGGAGTTCTTTGTATGTTTGGTAGAATTCCCCAGTGAAGCCATCTGGTCCCAGACTTTTGTTTGTAGGGAGATTTTTTTTTCTTGTTAATTCTATTTTATTTCTAGTGATTGGTCTGTTCAAGTGGTCTATTTCTTACCGATTCAGTCTTGGTGGGCTGTATGTTTCTAGAAACTTGTCCATTAAACTCCTCGCCATGGTCTCCAAAAGTTCACCTAATTGGACTTTCATCTAATTATACTGCCTGCTGTGTAACTATGTTGCAACCCGGTTGGGGTCTCTTGTTGTTCCTCTAGTGGGCCAGGCACATCCCTATTGCAAGGTTTTTGTGCTTGACATTCATTTTGCCTGAATATTTTACCTCCAGTTTTGGTAGGCTTTTTCCTATCCTTGGGTTCTCAGTTACAGTTTCATCTTGTAGACTGAAAGAAAAGTGTAGTGTAAGAGCTTTGAGTTCCAGTTTATTCAGGCTAGGAAACAGCCTCTCAGTAGCTCTGAGGGAACTTCCTGCAGAGGTAGGGGAGAAGCCAATGCATATACGATTTTGGGGTAGGAAATACATGCAGTCAAGCATCACATCTCAGTAAAAGGTAATTGTTAGTCACAAGACACAGATATATCAGTTAATGATTTCGGTGCTTTTCTATGTACGGGAAAATGCAAGACTCTGGGTTCATTAAAATTCTTCCTGAGTCATACATCTAACTTTCTAAGGGCCTGTTCTTCCGAAACAGAGTCCCTCATTCTGTTGGGCATCCTGAATTCCTCTCAGGATGCACTGCTGCTCAGGGACTGCAGTGGCTAATGACTTAATCCTGATAGAACTAGGTGGTAAGCCACATTGTTTTGTATTCTCATCTCCTTCCTTGATTATCTAATCTAAATAAAACCACTGTTTGTGTTCACTCTGAGATATAGCTGAATTCATTCATTTTTTGAGTTGTCTGGTTGTTAGGTGTCACCATTAGGATGTGACTTCCCCACAATCAGAAGCCTTTTCTATCTTGTTTACCACAAAATACCTAGTGCCTAAGAATGCTTCCCCTGCAATAGGTGATTGATAAATATTTGATGAATAAGTAGAAATTTACATAGTAGTGTTCCCATATATGATCGGAGTGATTATGGCAGGAGGAGGTCAATACTGAATATAGTTACCAGGAAAGGGTGGAACTTGAGATGAAGTTTCAGGAACAGGTAGGATTCAGACTCATGGAAAAGAGGAGAGGATACTCTGTACAAGCAAGTTCACAAAGTCAGGAGGGAGCATTCTGTTTGTCATTTGTAAGTGTCATTCAATGATAGGGGTATCCTGATTAATAAATCATTCATGAAAAACTCTATCCTTTCTAGAATGATTTAATTCATTCCTGTATTGAGTGTAGGTATTCCTTAGAAGAAATTCTAAGCATTTATAATATTAATTGTAAAAGATTCACATTTTTTACCCTAAGCTCTTTGTCCTAATTCTCATATTTCAAGGCAAATTCCTGAAAGAATGAGCTTTCCTTGGGGTTAACTGAGGGAATAAAATTGTTGTCAGATAAAATATATATCCCTAGAATTGCTTTTTACTATTTTTTTCAGAGACTGTAAATTATGTATTATTAAGGGAAATTTATTTTAAGAAATTGTGTTAAGATTCAAGTTATTTTATTAACTATATTATATCACTAATGGTTATTCTAGTCTTTCTCAACTAGTGAGATTATTTGTTAAATTTTAATGAATTGAGCAACAGTATCCTGGTTGCTTAGCAAAGTGTACTTGCATAACTGAGATCATTTTCCTAATCATTTAAAATTAATCATCCCAGGTCTTCAAAATATGCTTTAAACATAGAAATGAAGCACAAATTATGTTTTCTTAACGTGGTTTCTACTAGACATATGTAGTCCACATGTTTGGGGAAACAAACCAACCAACCTCTATTTTACAAATTCATTTAAAAAATTTACATAGTTTTGTCATGAGGTCTCCTCAGTCAATTTCTTTTTCTTTTAATGTTTCCTTAATGCTCTAATATGATTCTTCGTATGTCTGAATTGAGCATCCCGTTAAGATCATATTCTTCCTCTGCTATGTGGTACTTTCTCCTACCATCCTTTTTCATACCAGAAGTTCTCAGCAGTCTGTTCACTCTTCTTATCTTCCTATATGCCAGACAAGCAAAGTAATTGCCAGTGACACCTTATAAATCAATAAGCAATGATATGCTTCTAGACCTCATGATTATCTTCCTTCAGTAACAAAACACTCTTCCCCCAAGACAGTGATAAACATGTCTGCCCAGGAAATTTGTTTCTCTGACTCCTACCACATAACAGTTGTTTTTTAAAAGCATCATAACATTGAAATTACTTATAAAGTTAACGACTACTTCCATTTAGATGTATCTGTTTCTTTTATAACATGAAACGTGGAGTAAAGAAGAGTAAAGACTGTTATAAGTAGCTTTGGATGAGTTAAAAAATCCCCAAGGTATTGTCACTGTCAAATCAATCCACTGAAAATTTCTAAAGTCAGTGCCAGTTCTCAAAGCTTTAATGAATAATTGGTTACAATAAAAGATGGTTATAATGAGAGATGAGCTGGCATGGAATGTGACATGACATTTATCGTTCATTCATTCAACAAAAAATTGGGAGTGCCTTCTCTATTCTAGGTCTTGATTTTTGTTGTTTTCTCTCTTGCTGGTTTTTCCTACTCCCCTGACTAATACTGACTGGCTTCCAGTGACATCTCTTTAACAGTCTTCCAACCCCTGGCTCTCTCTCCTGAGGCACCTGTGTGAGTTCTCTGGAAGGGCCTGGGGTGATCCCCACTACCCACTTCCTTGACGTGACAGATTTAGCTCTAGCTCAGTCTTTTCCAGCTCCTCTCAGCTCTTCCTTCTGGTGTTATATCCCATTATATTTTTGCTGCTAGTATCTGTTTGCAGAGCAGCCAGCCTTCTCGGGTGGGGTGCTAGTGAAATGGTTCAAGCCTGATGACTCTCTGTGTTCATACTTGACCCATGGACGACGCTGGCATTTGTCAGGGCAAGCAAAGGTGGGTGTCCAGATTGCTCCACAGCTCCTTCTCTGATCAAGCAGACTCATGAATGGGAAGTCGGTTGCCTGTTACCTTCAGTCTGCAATGTGTCATTCACTCCAGCAGGCATCCTCCTCATTTAGCTGGAATCTGGAGTGTGGGCAGAAGCACCCTCTTTCCCACCCCTTAGGCAGCCAGGAAAAAGCTATGGCGTTCTCCCAGAGGTCAGGGACCTGCGACTTCAGTGACACCTTCTCTTACCTCCTCTAGTCTTCTGCTTACATGCAGTTGGGAAAGTGAGCATGTGTGTCATTTACAAAACGGTTTTTGTTTTGAGGTGGCCAACAGGTGAAATCCCACTTGTAAGTATTATATGCATATACACAAATCATATATATATGAAATTTAAAAATACTTGGAAGCTGTTGGTCTTTTAATGAGTAAACTTCTAAGTCAGTCCACTATACTTACGACTGTGTGAACTTCACCAAGTTATTCAGCCTTCAACTAGCTTCAGATTACTCCTTGGTGAAGATAGAAAGGATTACAGCCCTTACCTTGCAGTATTAATTGATGTGAATGTGTCTAGGATGGAGTTCGTGACAAATAAATCTTTTTAAATCATGAAAAACATAAATTTGTCTCTTCTTTCTCTAGATATCCTACTGCATGACATCTAGAAAGGAAAAGCTTTTTAAAGTGATTGTTTATGGCAACAAAGCCAAAGTACAGAATTTGACTCCAGGGATGGACTACCTGTTCCAGGTGAAGACAGTTAGAGGCAAAGATTACAGCGTATCTGTGATGGAAGAAGTGGCTACAAGTAAGAAAATACCATAATAGAACCTTTGCTTTATAGTTTTCTAAGAATTGACAGTATTTTGGCCCAGCATAATTAAAGCTGTTTTAAAACTTAAAACCTGATAATTAAGGAATGATGATCAGCAGATTATGTTTATGAGAAGTCCCAAGAACTATGTGAACTTAAAGAAGTCTTTGTCTAAATGTATTGGCACTACATAGAGATTTTTTAAAATAATCTGAAGTGAACGTATGTATGTATATATATCATATATGTCAAATATATGGAATATATGTATATATACACCATACATGTTATATAATATGCCATAATGATATAAAGACAGTTCAGTTTCTATTGCATAGGGGTTTGATAAGCAGAAAAGTAGAGAATTTCTATTTTTCCTTCCCTGATGTTTGTAAATTCATTGTAAATCAATTTCATAATGTTTTTGAATGGGGTAGAGTAATAGTACTTGTTACCAGCAGTTCTTGTGAGAGTTCATACGGTTTACAGGATCCCGTCTCAGTGGAGACCACATGACAGCATAAGAAACTACATTACTTTCACTGATGAGTGGATTAAAAATCCAGTGATACAAGAATGCAGAAAACTTTGATGTAACCAGAAGAACCACACTTGAAAGTGCCCTTACTTCTGGCCCTCACACCCTCTCTGTGTCATCTTCATCCAACGTGTAACTCTGCTAGGTAGTGACTAACCTGTAATTGTATCCTATAAGGGTACTTTTGGTTACGAGCACTCAGGAGGCACAATTCCAAAGGAATGACTATTGCAAGTGGCTTATGATTGATTAAGGAAAGATATTTGGGAACTAGGGAGGATGGTAATGTGCCATTTCAAGTAAAACTCATATAAATAAGAACCTGTTTCTCTCTCTGCAGAGCTGACCATGTAAGACATTCTGTATGAATACATTCAAAGATTGTTACATAGATGTTTGTATTATTCACGTCTGCTTTATTTTCACGTACATGTATGCAGTTTTTATTTACATATATTTACCTTTTCAATAGAGCCATCTAGGATATGTGGCTTAACCTTGAAAGCTGTGAATACTTCTTCAGCAAATTTAATGTGGAATCCAACAGAGACCAACTTCACTCATTACAAGATTTGTATATCAAACAGAACATTTGCAAAAGAGTATCTTATTTGGGGGCTGATGACTGAGCACGCAGTGACAGAGCTCACTCCTGGCGGAGTGTATAACATCACAGTACACAGAGTGAGAGGTGATATTGAAGGATCTGGCACGTTTATCAGAGTCATTGCAGGTATACAAATTCTTTTTGATATTAAAAAATTCACATTTGATTTGCATGTTGTACTGCTTGAGATAAAATTTCAATACCCTTTTTTTGAAATTTGAAAACGTACAGTCTATAGAGTATTTCAGAGGGTAAAAAATACTTTCACTGGAGTTATTCTGAGGATTTTTGAGAAACTATATGTAAGTTATAAATTGGATAACAAATTATCTGGCACATAGTCAGTGCTCAATAAATGTAGTTAATACTATACATAGTTTCTTATCAAATTAGTGGTCCAGCTGGTGGAATTAAATGGTCAATTTGGGAATCACCCATTCTCCTCAAAACTTGCTCTTGGTTTTGATGAACAGCTGTGCTATGCACATGAAAAAGCATAATTTAGGATGTGAGGAGAGTAGTAAAGGATGCAAGCATGGAAATAGATACAGCCTAAGTCAGATTAATAGGTGAAGCAACAGAAGTATGTTCAATCTTACTGTGGTTGCACAGACAAGGGAGTGATGACCTCCGCAGAATAAATGGGGAAGGCTCTCTGAGGCTGGGAATGTCTGCAAAAGGTTAGGGTGCTTCCTCATCAGACTAGAGAGCACATGGGGTGTGTTGAAAGGAGGACTCACAGAGAGAGGGAACAGTCTGTGCAAAATTACGGAGACGTCAATGAATATGGTGTATTTGTGGAACAGTAATCAATTCAACATGGGAAGATTCTGTTGTTTTTATATGAGAAAAGAATGAAATCCTATTCTGAATAATTGAAAGCATAATTTTTACATCCAAGTGAAGCTGCGAGACCTATGAATCTTCAAAATTTTTCAGAAGAGAAGAAGATGGCAGTAATAACTAATGAGATTACCCTTAAATGATCTTTAAGGCTCTGAATTAGACAACCCAAGGCAGACATAAAATAACTCAGGCTACGAACATTTGTTTTGTGGGTGTTGCACACTGCATTAGTTTCTAATTGGTGCTGTAACAAACTGCCACAAGCTTTGTGGCTTAAAACAACGCAAATTTATTATGCCATGGCTCTTAAATACTCGATTACACTTTGTTTATTTTTGTATTATATATACGTATATAATACATCTTTGCCATTTCTTAAAAAACGTATTTGTTAAATGATGTATTAAATGTCTCCCCCCCCCAGGGTTTTACAATAAGTAAACTATACAATTAAGTGCATTAAAACTGGACCCGCAGGAGAGGATTTGGTCTGCGGCAAGGTTTCTTAACGTCAGTGCTGTTGACATTTTGGGCTGGGTGGTTCTCTTTCGTGGGAATCTGTTCTGTACATTTTAGGATGTTTAGCAGCATCCCTGACCTCTGCCCACTAGATACCAGTAGGATCCTCTTAATTGTGACAATCAAATTTTTCTCTAAAAATCCCCAGAAGTCCAGAAATTTTCAGAAGTTGACAAGATCAGAATGCGTCTGTGGTAAGCACTGATCTTACGTAGCTGGATGGAAAGATCAAAGAGCCCACTGAGCAAAGGTTGAGGAAAAATACGATACAGTGTTTTGCTTATGCACCCGTCAAGGAGACAGCGTGGTTAGTATGAGGGACAGGATTCGCTCACTTAGAATTTGGTCGGAGGGAAAAATGAGCAAGGTCATGCCAATATCAGGAAAGTTTCACGGAAGATAATGAATATCAGTGGTTATTTTAATGACAGAAGAGAGCACTTTATGAAATAGTAGGAACTTGATGTTCTAGTTGGGTCGTGTGGTTTAGGCGATGATACTGAGAGATTATAGGTGGGTCATGGAAGTCCCTGGGAGAGGAGAGCGGTGATTTGGGAGGTGAGCTGATGGGAGCAAATGGGAAAGAATGATAACCTAGGTTTCCTGGTGGACATCTCTGGAGCAGAAAGGTATTACTGCCCTACTTTTTGCAGAGGAGAGAGCAGTGGCAGTAGAACAATTCTGAGCGGAGCACTGAGTAGATATGAGGAGGGAGCTAAAGCTAAGAAGGGAAAAAGAGGGGATGTCATGATTTTACTAGAGAAAGACGGCAGAAGTAACAATAGCTGGTAATCACAGTTACGTTTACTGAGCTCCTGCTAGGCTCACACCACTCCTCTCAGCACTTCACGTATATTAATTTAACTTATTTCTACAGCAGTGTGAGAGGTAGGAGTATTATTGTCCTCATCTTGATGAGGCCCGAGTGGTACAGAGAGGCTAAAGGTTTTCGCCTACATTTTTAATTGATGTAGCAAAGCTAGGGTTTGAATCCAGTTATCCAGTTATAGGGCCTGTGACCAGTGCCTGTACTAAAAATTTGATTTTTTTGACTCTTGTGATACCCAATATGATGCTGACTTATTAGAGGATGTTTATTTTATTTATAATTTATACCTAGCCCGTTTCCAAACTATGAGGATGCTATAGGCACTCAATAAATACATGTTGCCTTGACATAGGACGTATTTAGTAGGAGTCCCTCAAGATTAAATGGGAGGTCACTTCAACTAACAATCCTAGACTTGAAGGAAAAATTACAGATCATTCTATTTAATGCCTTAATTCTCTTTTAAATGCTAATTCATGTAGTAGGACTTTTGATCTACTATTTATAAGCCACTTTGTGAAGGTCAAGGGGTGCAGTTATCAGGGTAATTGAAACTTGAGCTCTGAAGCTACTGCTCCTGGGTCTAAATCCTAGCTTCCCCGCTCACCTATTAGCTTTGAGACCTTGGCAAAGTTAACGAAATTCTTCGTTTCTCAGTTGTCCAATTTTTAAATCATAATAATAGTATTCCTTATGATTTGTTATGGGTGTTATACATAAAATGAGTGAAAATGTGTAGCGCAGAGTGTAGCGTGTTGGAAACTCGATTAGGAGTTACTTACTGTTCTGCATGTCTTGTATCTCATTGGTCAGAGCATATATTATGCCCAACCTGTGATTAATCATGGAAAGATTTAAATGTGATATTGAAAGCTTATCATACACAGTATTAGTACCTAGGTGGTATAAATAAAAATAATAATGGTAATGAAAATTTTGAAGTCTTCATATTTTGTTTTAAAATATCTGTCCCTATGGGTGTTTCTTTCCTTAGTGCTGTTCTGGTAGGTTTGTGTGACTCTTCTGTGGATATTCTGAGATGTAACATTTTGGTCTCATTTTGTGTACATGCCTTTAAGGATCAGAATCTCCTGAAGAGCTCTGTCAGAAGCTTTCTTGTCCATTTTGAATCTCCTCTTACTCTCTGTCTCAAAGGTGAATTGAGCATAGATTTCATCAGAACTCTGTATGTGAGGCCTTCTTAACTCTTCTGAGCTTGTTTTCTATATAGACACTGATCATGGGATCAGACTTCTGTTTTTTCCTCAGTTTCTCAAGATGCAGCTGAAACAAATTTTCTGAGATACCAAGGGGAAAAGTTGAGAGATGCTTTAAAGCTGCACTGTTCAGCATGTAGTGATTAGCAACACATGACTCTTGAACCTTGGCATGGGACTAGTCCACAATCAGATGTGCTCTAAGTGTGGCAGACACAAGGGATTCCAAAGACTTAGTATGAAAAAAAAGTGACTGGCTCATTAACAGTTTAATATTGATTACATGTGAGATGATGTTGCTGTAAATGGCATTATTTCATTCTTTTTTATGACCCAGTAGTATTCCATTGTACACATACCACATCTTTTAATTTTTTAAGGTGGTAGTTAATAAATGGTAGCTATGTAATTATTTTCTCTGATAGTACAAAATACTATCACATAAAGTACACATAACATAAAATTCACCATCTTAACAATTTTAAGTGTATTGTTCAGTACTGTTAAGTATTTTAACACTATTGTGCAACCTGTCTTCAAAACTTTTTCATCTTGTGCAACAAACGTGATAGCCATGAAACAGTTCCTCATTTCCCCTCCTCCCATCCCCTGAAATCACTGTTTTACTTTCTTATACCACATCTTCTATATCCAGTCATCTGTCAGTGGACATTTAGGTTGCTACCATGATTTGGCTATTGTATATAATGCACTATATACAAACATATAATTGAATTTCCCAGTGACTTAAGCATTACTTCATCTCTCTTACCTCAGAAAAACTGAGGGAAAACCTCCCTCTTCTCTGCTCACAGTATCCTACTAACTGGCCTTGCACTGCCATTTTTGCCAAGTCTCCGATTCCTATATAGCATTCCAGAGTAATCTTAAAAAAAAAAAAAGATTGTTTTTCTGCTTAAAATTTTTCAATGTTTTCCACTGAATTTATGGGGAAAAAAATCTAAAATCTTTATAGTGGCCTACATGATCATCAGATTGCTCTCCTTTCTTAAGTGATCCTACAGCCCAGGCTGGTTTTTATCAATCACTTTAAATTCTGTCCTTTTCCAGGGCTTTTATCCACGCTGCTTAGAAAGGTCTTTACCAAATTGTCCTGAAGCTCCCAGGCCTTCCCTTTTTATCAGATTGGCAAATTTTCAGACAAATATATTCTTCCTCCTCTTGGTGAGATGCATTTCATCCTTGGCCAAGAGTTCTTCAGCATGTAATCTTAAACCACAGTCCGGGAAATTGCATCCTATCTCACTGCCATCTCCGTGAGACTCTTCTGTCTTCATTTTTCTTCCTAAGTCTCATTCCAGCTGTTTTCCAGTTTCTTGCCTAAGACTTCATGAGTGTCTAGGACACTTGATGAAACAGTATTTGCCCTCACTTAAATCAGTAAGTGTGAGTAGTGGTTGGACTTTTGTCATGTTAGACTTTTGTCCATTTTAATATGGGCTGGTGAGGAAATCAAGCTCTTTTCTCTCAAGCTTGGGAATACAGAGGACATAGGTCTGTGCACGGAGTCATGAGAAAAAAGATCCCACCAGCTGTGCACAACAAAGTAGGTCTGCCTGTTACAGACTGGGCATTTCTCTGATCTTTCACCTCAGGTTTGCAGTGTTTCTAAAGAGTTGTAAAACTGTAGTGCTCATGACATGGACAGCTTGGAGATGATGCCTAGAGAATGTGTCTTTGAGGATGTTGTGGCAGAAATCAATTGATCAATATTAGCTTTGGGCTCTAGGGAGACAGTTACAACCGTTCAAGGACCTTTTCAAAGGAGATTAAAAAAAATTCTAAAAGTATATCCCTCCTCTGCCAAAAATATACCAAGAAATTGACCTGTTATCTGTTTTATGCAACGTATCCTATCAGTTTCATTAGGAAATGAGTTTTTGTTTTTTATATATTCATTTTCAAATCATCTCTGGGGGAGGTGTTTATAATTATAAATGGAGTCCAATGATTAATTCTAGACGCCTGTCTTTTGGAAATAGTGTTAGATTGGATCTGTTATCAGCATGTTTTTCACATGCTTGGCTCCATAATCCCTTTCCCTCCCCTTATATTGTTTTTCTGGAATTTGCACTAAAGATAAGCAGAGTGCAGACCTGACTCATTGGCAACCAATCCGAAGAACTTTATGTAGAAAACTCCCTTCAAGTAGGTACAGGCAGCATAAACAAAACTTTGGAAACAGTGGAGACAAAGGTAGAAAAATATAATTGAAGTGGCTAGGACAATGACTACTTACTGTTTAAAAATTATCTTTTTTCATTTCCGACATGGAAACTTTTCTTTTAAAGGAACACTGAACTAAATATTCATCAGTAATGCCCCTCCTTTAAACATTTTGGCAGCTTTTAGTATTTTTTTCTAATTATCTTCTCTTTGATAAATATCCAGGTAATTGGGTAAAAAGTTTGTACTTGTCTTTAAAGTGATTCATTTTTTCAATTAGAGCATAAGCTTTAAAAAACAATCTGGTCAACCAACAGATTTTAGTAGGTAAGGAATACCCCAGTAACAGATACCTAAGCTGATGGATTGATAATAAACTTAAAAACTAGATACTGTTAAGAATATACATACCTAGCACCTACATAGGGCTAGAGATAATTTAAAGGATTTGATGCTTTCTAACAATGTGGTTGTTTTGAAACCTGGCTCTTAGACTATTGATTTTCATGTTTTCTTTGAAGATTTAGGAGAATAACTCTGTTTTAAACCTCTGTTTGTCAATGTCAGAACCAGAAAAACCCGAGAAACTTAAAGCCTTCAACGTTTCTGCACATTCGTTTTCTCTGCACTGGAGCCAACCCTCCGGCCATGTGGAAGGGTTTCGTGTGGATCTTGTTCCTGACAGCGGCTTTGTTACTATCAGAGATCTTGGAGGTAGCGAGTATCAGGTATAGTTTTCATTATCATACTTGCTAAGCCAACTTGTATTTATATTTGGTCCAAATAGGAAAGTTCTTTACCAAACTCATCCACCGTGAAAACTTACTCCTTTGAGAGTTTTTAAAAGCGTAAGATGAAGACAGAAACACTGATGCCGAATCGATGAGTGTAAGTTTCATCACCGGTGGACTGTTACCTTAGCAACGTCTATGTCTCTCTCTCTGTCTTTTTTTTTTTTAAGTCTAGCTTGAACCTACAGCCAGCCATCCAAGAGTTCATGAATAGTTTAACAAAGAAAGGGCAGAGCTATTGAGTAATCCAGGCTCATTAATTGTGCACTTGCCAGGAGGATCTGTCTTTAAATCATTAATGCAGGCAACATTTCTCTCTAGAGCCATCAATGTGATTCCACTGCCTGAAAAATGTGATAATGATGGATTTTCTTATCATTTTTCTCTTACTTTTTATTGGAACTTCAGAGACACAGGTATTTTATACACACTCTTAAAAAACCAGGGCTAAGCAATGGGCTATAGATTTCTTAAGACGCTTAAATAGTTGTTTCTCGTGACAATGAACTAAGACAGGTAGAAATGCTGATTTAGTCTTCAATAACACAGTATGTTTTGTACGTTTTTGTTTTATGTTATTTGGTAAATGATTATGTGATATAACTAACTATTGGAAGGTATTGTGATAAATAGTGCAGAGTTGTATAGTGAAGTGTTTAGTTTTTTTATTGTGATGGATTTATTATTTTAGCTCTCTAGCTTTTTAAAATTTTAACACAATTATGTGTTTTTGGTCTTTTAGGTTGATGTTTCCAATGCTGTTCCAGGTACTAGGTATGACGTAACCATCTCTTCTGTTTCCGCTACAACATACAGCGCACCTGTTAGTAGAACAGTTACCACAAATGTGACAAGTGAGTAGATGCTTTCAGTGACCTTTTTTAAACCAAGTATTTGGAGCCAGTGTAAGTCTGTTGGATGGAAATACTTATACTGGCAATATGTGCATTGTATGCATGAAAACAGTTTAGTGATGAAAGCAAAATGGAAACTTTAAGAAAGTGATCTGTTTAGAACCTGCGTTCTACGGGTTCTTTATCTTCCGTTACTTTCAAAGAGCAAAGATAATTTCTCTGTATTGGTTTGTGAAATGGATCAGAGAGACTGTTATTGGGAATATTTAAATAATACAAAGCTATGAAAATAAACTCAATACACTTGCTCTGGAAGAATTACTCAGTTTGTAAGACTGGTTCTTGTTTTCTTAGCTTTTGTGTATAAGGCTTGCCTCAAGTAAGTTTCTTTTAAAAATGATTTGGCACTAAATGGATATTTGGCATGTAGTATTTATTAGCATTCCATTTTTTACATTCTTATAAAAAAATGTTTTTGGTATTCCCCACCCAAAGCATTTAATCTTTTTTTTTCTCCTGGTAGCAAAGCTCTTATTTAGGGAGGATAAACTTACATTTTGAGACCATTAGTCTTTGGGAACTTTAAGTCTACAATTTGTGAATATTTTTCTTACATATGATTGTGAAAATACACCAATTATCTGACCTTTTAACAATATGACTCTTTGGAAAAATAGAACCAGGGCCTCCAGTCTTCCTAGCAGGGGAAAGAGTTGGATCTGCTGGGATTCTTCTGTCCTGGAATACACCGCCTAATCCAAATGGGAGAATTACATCTTACGTTGTGAAATACAAGGAAGTTTGTCCATGGATGCAAGCAGCATATACACAAGTTAGGGCAAAGGCAGACAGTCTGGAAGTTCTTCTTACTGATCTTACTCCTGGAACAACATATGAAATCAAGGTAACTATTTTGTAAATAGTTAGTATTAAAATATTCCACTCGTTTTAAAAGTGAAAGCACTTTATCCCACCAGGTCAAGCCTTTGCAGCGGAACGTAGCAAGTGACTGAAGGATGATCATCTGAGTCATGGCCTCATTGCCCATCTGGGCTTTTCCAATCTGAACAGATGTTATAATCTGTTTTCATTTTTATGTGTATTTATATAATTTATCTATTTTAAAAAGCATTCGTTTAGTGACTTTTTTAAAAAAAATTTCAGTCAAATAATTTAAGCTTTGTAAATGCATATGTTCTACTTTTTACTCAAACTCAAAGTTAGCGTTGTTATTTTTCTCTTAATCTTCCTGTATTTCCATGTCTGTCATTGAAATTTCGCATAATGGTTTGAAAGTTTCGAAGGAACCAGTTTCTCAAAGAACAATGAATTCAGTTCAGTTCCATGCAGCAAACATTTCCTGAGCACTTATGCTGTCTTTCATGTTTATAAAAAATTTTATGCCGTTACAATGTTAAATATGCAAAATCTAAGAACATTTTACTTAAATATTAAGTAAAGAAGAGCATATGAAAAGCATTCTTTAATTAGTTGGGCCATATGGAAATGTTTACAGTTAAGAGACATGCGTGATATTTCCAAGGGGCAGTAGAGAATACAGGTACCCTTTCATTCCTCCCTAATTTCGATATAACGTCAGTCTGTCACTTGAGTCTTGACTGTAGAGAAAAAACTGTGTAAATGTGTGATCATACATAACTGAGATGGCCATCTAGATGGAAAGAAATGATAAATGATATTTGCCTGTTTTGTTCTTATTGCAAGTATGCCTATTTGCAGAATTATACAACACAATAAGACCTGGAAAGCATATATCAAGAGCAGGGAGTCCCCCAAATGATAAAAGAAAAAAAAGAAACTTTTACTTCTGCAGGGTCAAAATCAAAGATTTGACAGCTGTATTCCCTGCAGAAACATGAGTTAAAAAGAGTAGGCAACCTTTTTCTAACTGACCTCTGAAAATTATATAGTACAGAGATTTTCTATCAATAAGCACACACTGAGGTTAACTTACATGTGAAGGTATGCTCTTTGGGATGATAAAGATTACATTTTAATGACATAAGAAGCTGTTGCTGATAGAAAGGTGATTTAGCCAACCTAGTGCTGCTTAGATCTATTTTTATGGAGTTTGAATTTTTATTCCCTTGAATTCTCTTATTTCAGGCCTATTGGGAAGCCCTTATTCTCTTTTTTCATCCCACACTTTATAAATCATGTTTGTGACCTTTACTCTGTTCAAGTAAATGTTAGGCATTGCAGAATTCCAAAGGGCATTTGACATGGTGCATTTGATATCTCTAAATGTAGATATCAAATTTACGTGATATGGGGAAAATATGTTATTTCATTTAGTTCTCAGAACAATCTTATGACATAGATACATTATTATTCCCATTTTAAAGGAAAATAGGACTTAGAACAGTTAAGTAAATTGCTCAAAGCTATTCATCTGGGAATGGATAGAGCTGCAATTTAAGCCAAGTTTGTCTCACTATAGGTTATGGCATTTGGAAAAGCTTAAGAGTTCTCATTTATGACACTTTCTCTGCCTATTCTGGTGTATTTGATTAGACTATTCAAGTCAAAATTTTTTCCATCTTTCAAATTCTAGAATATTTAATCTAAATGATTAAATCACCCACTTATTTTTAAAAACCGTTTTCCTGAGTAATTTGCCTAATTAGATTGTAAACCCTTAAATCAGACACCATATATATGGCCTCAGATTTATTACAGAAATAGTCATGGTGTCTTACATAAAGTGAATGTAGTGGAAAGAGATTGAGCTTTAGAAATAAACACAACTTCAACTGAATTCTGGTTCAGCCACTTATTCCTGTGTAATTTTTGGCAAATTACTTCACCTCTCTCAACCAGTTTTCTCTTCTGTAAGATGTGTACAATAATACTTCACATTTTATGTGAATAAAATGAGATACATAAATCCTCAGTTGATTTCTGGGTACACAGAAGTTGCTTAATAAATACTAAAAAAATTATTACTATCAATAGACATTAAACTTGCTTATTGATTTCTCATCAGGAATCTGAGAAATCTGTTGGTTGCAAATACACCCTTAAGGGAAATGGAAATATTTTCCACTTTGCGAGTATTGTAGGAATTACAGGCAGAAGTATCTTCATTGTGTATCTCATGGACAAATCAAAGTTTTATTATTTTAGATTCTGTGTAATTAGAGAGTAAAAAGCTTGAATGTAATTCTTTTGGTCTATTCTAGGTTGCTGCTGAAAATAGTGCCGGCATTGGAGTGTTTAGTGACCCATTTCTCTTCCAAACTGCAGAAAGTGGTAACTTTCCTAAAGCATTTAATTTCAATTAACTTAGTCATGAGTCTTTGTCATTTAAAATAAGTAGGGATATAAACAAAATCTGGCACTCAAATGCATAAAATTTTCAACAGCATGACCAATTACTTTTAGGCTCTTCTTGGATAGTAAATTTATTCATTAAAATATATATTGTTCTTTCTGATTATAAAAGCAGTAAATGTTATCTTAGAAAATTTTTAAAAAAAGCAAAAATTAAAAAAAATGAAAGTTATCCATGTCCCTGTTATATAAAAAAATCTTGTTACCATTTTGGTGACTTTCTGGCTGAAGTTTTTCCCTATGAATATGTGTCTGTGTGACTCTATATTAGTGAAAGTAAACTTGTGTCATTTATGCAAGTTTATAGCCAGCCTTTTCCTCTTAACATGAAATCATAAGCATTTTTATGACATTAGACTTTGGAAAATGTGGATTTTAATGGTTACCATGCTATTCCATAACATGTAGTCATTACCAAACCAATTTAAGTTACTTCCATTCTCTCAGTGGCTGACAGGAAAAGTTGGATGCCATCCTTGATTTCCTCTCTCTCATAGTAACCCTAATCTGTCAACAAATCCTGCCAGCATTGTATCAAAATATATCCTGAATCTCCACCCTTATTGGTAATCACCCTGTCCCATCCACTGCCATTTCTTGCCTGAACAATTGAATATCTCCTTACTGGTTTTCCTATTTCCAACTTACTTGTCTATAGTTGACTCTTCCCAAGAGAGCCACATCATCTTTTGAAACATAATCAGAATACATGACTTCTCTCTTCCTAACATGACCCCTGACTCATTGAGAGGAAGAACCTCCGTCCTTCCCGTGACCTGCAGAGCTCCACCTGCCCTCTCCCCTCTCTGACATCATCTCTTACCACCTCCCCTTCCATTCATCTACTCTAGCCACACTGATCTGTTGTCTCAGGGTCTCTTGCTGTTCCCTCTGCCTGGAATACTTCCACTAAATATCCGTAGAACTCTGTCCCCAGTTGGTCCAAATCTCACTTTACCTTTTCTGATGACACCTTCTAAAATAGCCCCTATTTCCTTCCATCCATCTGTATTTCCAACAAATTTATTTTTCTTCATTGGACTAGCCTGATATATAACATATTTACTTACTTTTAATTGTAGCTATTAGCCTAGTAGAATACAAACTTTGTGATAAATATAAGTTGTTAAAGCATTGAAGTGATTTTATTTATGTAGTAATTCTGCTGTTTATTTATAAAGCAAACAGAACTAATAAATGGAAAAGCCGTTAAGTAAATAATGGTGTCTCCAATCAGTAGCAAATATATTTCTGTGAAGCTTATATTCTAGTGGGATAAGATAAACAAAAAAATGAGTTAGTAATACATTAAATTGGGGAGAAGTGCTATAAAAACAGTTTCTACAATTTTGTGTAACTATAAATGTTCTATGTATTTAAAGATAAAAAATCTCCCAGTAGTCTATGGCCAACAGGATAAATTGAAATGTGCCCTGTGTGTCTAGAGAGGATTATGCAATTGTCAGTGTTTAAAAAAAAAAAAAGTGACAAGCTTTATGGCCCAGCTCTTATTTGAGATCCTGTCCAGGGAAGCCTATGATTACAGGATCTATACCGTAAGAAGAATTAAGAGAAAATTCTGTATTTAAAATTAAAAATGAGTGATTCATGAGATCTTTCTCTTGTTGATACTGAACCTACTGACATTCAGATTATTAGCACAACGAAAAATTAAGAAAACTATCATTTTAAAATTAAATATTCATTAGGATATAAAAAATTTATTACTTATGTTTTTAGTTTTAAGGAAAATACTTGGAATAATCTTTGAATGACTTAGTAATTAGTTTGGTCTTTTTTGTTTTAAATGCTTATCTGATACAGCTTCTGGCAATGCATGGTACATGCAGATTATGATTTCAACTTGACAGTATTTTGAACTATATTAAAAATTTTTTTTGTTGAACTATAGTTGGTTTACAATGTTTTTTTTAACAATTTTTATTGATTTATAATCATTTTACAATGTTGTGATACAATGTTTTCTTAATTTCTGGTGTACAGCATAGTGATTCAGTTATATATATTTATACTCCTTTTCATATGCTTTTTTATTATAGGCTATTACAAGGTATTTAATGTAGTTCCCTGTGCTATACAGTAGGATATATTCTGCTAACTGACATAATTTCTAGAGGTATTTACTCTCTTGGCAAGTTATGATTGGGACAAACTAGAGAAACTCTAGGATGGTGTGAAAATAACCCTGGAAACAGGAGTTTCACTCTGTTTCTGACTTGCTGTGTTTTCTTGGGCAAATTGCATAATTACGTAATTGCTCTTGTCTTACCTTTAAAAAAAGAAAAAGTAAAGAGGTAAAAATGTATGTCAATCTAAATTTAGTTAGATCAATTGTCTCTAATTTTTTCCCCAATAACTTTTCTTTAGTTATGCTATATAGAACCAAAATTTAAGGATGATTTCTGCAGGATAAATAAACACCATTTTAAAAATATTATTATTATTATTATTATTATTATTATTATTATTATTATTATTATTATTATTATTATACCAGAGGTAATTTCTTTCTCCATGAATAAAAATACTAGGAAAAGTATAAGGTTAACCTGTTACATGTACTGAGCTGATACTACATCCACAGGCACAAAAATCTCAGTTTTAACTTCCTGTGCAGCATTATTTCAGGCAAATGCAGAATTTATTTTAGCTTTACAATATTAGAAATAGTTCTTGCATCTCCATTTCTAATTTGATGGATCCCTAGAAATGTAGGAAAGTTTTGTTTAGAACTCTTTGTATTGGATTTAGAAATTTATTTTCTGGGTAAAAAAATGTATGTTTTGTATAATGTACTCTTAGAAAATTTGTAGGTACTTTAACGTACTTGTGTATTCCTGCAAGTCATCTCTAGTTGTGTCCTCAAAGTGTGTAGAAGACTTATCTTAAAGATGAAGTGATTTATAAACAGAACTTTTTGGTACTTTAGTATCAAATATTTACTTGGATCAAAATGGATAAATTCACTGTAAAAATCAAGAGATGATGGATGGGGTTTTGGTACCTAAAAGTCCAGAAGTAGAAACTGGAATATCTAAACTAGGGAAGACCTGCCAACTGTAGAAAGAGCCAGAATTAGTCTTCAGACACCATGAAGTCACAAAAAGAAAACACAGATTTTACTGAGACAAAAATAATGTAAAGTAAGTTAATAAAATTAACCTCTTTTTAAACTAAATGTTGTTTAACAGGTTTAATTGTTTTCTATCTACTTAAGCTATTTGGTTTACTTTTAAAAATATTTTGAAATCATGCTTTGGAGTTTCATAAAGGTTTGATTACCTTATGAATTCAAATTTCTCTGCACATTGAGTGGTTCCTCAGTGACTGTTGTTTAAGGCTCATTTGGAAATGGGCCAGCCTGAGTGCAGTTTGTTTCATTTATATATATGTATTTCAGGCATTCTTATAAAATTTGCATAATTTAGATAAATAAGAAATATAAAAGCATGATTAAGATTAATGTTAAAGCTTTGATTCTTTGACATTTTCCTTTTGCTTTATTGTACTTTATCTACCCCAAAGAAATTTTTGTGTTAAATCTTTAGTATCAGAGAGCTATCATATTCTCATTATCCTTCTCAAGGTTTAATTCCATTGGTCAGTTTCCCTTGAAGAAAAAAATTTCTGTCCATTATTAATGATTAATCACCCTCCCAGATTGTTACATTGTGGTTTTTTCATTCAAATGCAGCTGTTCTTAAGTATCTTAATTTCTACTGTTTAACTCATATCATTTGCATACAGCTCTCCTTCCCAGGACGTAACTTTCTTATACAATTTATATGGCTTTCATTTACAAATCATATTTTGGCTTCCTTCTCTACAATGTACACCTAAACTCTAGTTACTTGGTTTCTTTCTACTAAGCACTTTTACTATCATTTATATTATTTTTTCTCAAATATCTTGTTCTGTTTTTATTTCTTTCAGTAGTGACTTGTCACAATTGTTCTATATTATAAAGGGCCTTGATTATTTACTCTACTTCATCAGTTTTGCATAACTTAACCTGAATTAATAGGTATTTTTCTTCATTTGGGCCTCATGTTTATCTCATCCCAACTAAAATTATAGCCTACAGATTATTATTATGCAGATTATTAATAACTGATAACAAAGTATCATGAGTTCTGATGAAAGTTGATTTTGAGGGTGTATAAAAGTCAAAATATAATAACCACAAGCAATTGGCTGGTATCTACTTTATAGTAGATACTAAATATTAACATGCATTCCAGAGACCCAGATGTGCTTTTTGGTGC